GCTTGTGGAATGTGCAGGTTCCGAGCGCATCTGTATGAAGAGTGGCCAGCAGGGAAGAAGCAAAGTGATCTGTGTCGAGGCAAAGGACCCTGCAGGCTTCAAGTGGGTCCACGGAGGAGACTAGAAGCACGAGGCAGTACTGTAAGGCACTCCTACGGGGAAAGACAGGGGGGAAGCCCAGCATGGAGGAGGAGTGCAGGCTCCCACGGTCTGCCGGGCCTGTGGCCGGCTTTCTGGCCAGGAGGCCTGACCCCGGCTCAGGAGGAGGGCGATGAGATCAAGGGGAGGGGGAAGAGGCTGGTCTACAGCGCTATGGCCAAGAGAAGGGAGTCTTCACCGTGCTTAGAATTGCTGTAGGCGCTTGAATCTTCTACCCTGGGCAACGACCGTGGCTTCGTTCCACCCCTTTCTAACAAGGTGGCTTCTCCTTCCACAGGCAGGAGGAACCAAAGCGAAATAGCAGTTGTCCCCTTTCCTTGAGTTGAACAATGCCCTCTGTCACTTTGGAGGCCACTTGATGAGAGTGCCCCATAACACGATCACCGGGAACCCGTTTTAAATAAAACCCCTGACAACCATGGATGTGCTGAGGAGGGCATTCCACACTTCTTTTACCTAGAGTTTAACAGTGACTTAGATTTGACCTTGGCGTGCACCCACTAAGACACACCAAAGAAAACCCTTCAAGTCAGAGGGTCTGAATACAATGAAATTAGAATTGTCTACCATTGGGAATTGCTGGGTGCTAAGACTTAACTGTGCCCCATGACAGAAACCAACACTCGTCTGCTTAAATGAACTGAGCGGGGCTTATTCACCCATCACCGGGCTCTACCTCGAGCAGTGAGTTCTACTAGACGCGGGGTTAGAAGAATGGTCCGAGGTACACAGGCTGCTAACGCCCAGCTGATAGCAAGTACCAAGGGAAGGAAAACAGTACCTCTACTGACTCAGTTCATGCCAAGGAAAGAGTGTTCATTTCTTTGTGTTTCGCCCCAAATTCTCTACTTTCTGACATTATCGTAGAGTAAGGAAAGTATGGAGACAGAAAATTCAAGAAATAAGGGGGAAGTTGTATGCAGCGCTCTTTACTGGGAAAAGTAAAAAAATAAAATAACCTCTGTATTGACTCTCAGCAGTCTTAGAGTCAAGAGTTGAAGAATGACTTCCTAATGCAGTTATTTCAGTAGAGTGCGGCAGAGCGGTGGGGATGAATACTTCTGCCCAAACTCAGGAACAGAAGTACTGGCTTCACCCTAAATTAGGAGCAACCGTATCTTGGCTTCCTCCAATAATGCCTCTCTTTGCAGGAAGTGTTCAGTGTGGCGTCCAGTTGTACCCCGATTCCGTAATTCCCACATGGCCTCTTTGGGCCAATAGGTAGAGAACAAACCCCCAGGGTTGGAAGCCAAGCCTTTCCGGGGAGGCACAGGGAGAAACCGTCCAGCGTCAATGTACAGGGTGTACACCCGCAGTGACCACACCAGAGGCCAGACCTCATCAAGGTGGACTCTCTCTAGCTTCGCAAAGGCTGCCTTTGGCTGCCGGAGTAAGGTCAACGCCAGGGTGCTCACTGCCCCGGAAGGAAGTCATGGCACAGTCCCTTTGCAGGAGTCCGAGATCCCACTGAGTTAGTTGGAAACCACAAATCCCCAACACCACTGAGATTCTCTTTTTGGTGGAGGCCTAGTCTAGTAGAATCCAAAAACGATTACCCCCTCAGCGAATCAAGTGTGCAAGCTCCGAACAGTATCACCCTTTAGTCCTACGGATAGGAAAAGAAGGGTAATACGGTCCCCTGAAAGGCAGGGAAGCAAAGGGGGATGACGGGCGTTGACGTGGTTTTCACATAAAGAGGCTTTCAACTTTGGGGAAAATCAGCCCTGGAAAGAACACGATGCGATTCCAGTTGACTGCTTTTAAAGTACTTTGTGGCCTCCCCTTAGTGGTACAAGTGAGGTCTATTTTGGGAACTGGCTTCTCTCCTGCAGGGTTAGGTGCCAACATTTTACCAGGGTTGGACGGTCTCACACATGAGTTTCTGGCACCGTTAGGAGGGATTTCCTCCAGTGATCCACCAGGGAATGGGCCTTTCAAGTGAAAAGAGGTTCCCCTGAGTCAGCTGCCAGCTCTAGGAGATTAATTGGCCATTTTCTCCTGTGTTTTATGTGTGAGCTATTTCAGATGGGATGAGAGAGGGAATGTGAGGGAAAGCAGGTATTAGCTTGGTCTTAGGGAGGTGGTAATCCACGGATTTGCTTTTGTTTCGACAGTTTCTAAGCAGTGGAACAATTACCTAACAGTGCACCAAGTCATTTGTTTGGGTGGAAAACAGTAAGGGCGTTCATGTGCTCTAAGGCGTTCTGGGCTGGAAAACAGCAATTTTGAATTTTTCAGGACAGACCCGATTCCGAAGCTGGCTCCACTCTGTCCTATCAGATTTGGGTGGTGGTGGCTGTGCAGGCTGGCAGGCGGCACTGGCTGGGCTGTTGGGGGCATACAAAAAGGAGAGAAAACAGAAGCGGCTGGGATGTAGTCCTACTTCTGGGTAGCTGATGGCGACAGTACCGCTCCTATATATATATTTCTTTTTCCTCTATTGAAAATATGCAGAAAGTGATGTGGATAGAAGGTTCTCCTTAGGAGTTCCCAGGGGAGGCCCATATTTAGCAGGACCCTCTACGTGGGCACCTGTGAAGACAAAGGCCTTTAGAACCGGGATCCAGAATCTCACCCCCTCGGCAGACCAGACGCTAGGTGCCTGTGAGGTGGGGCAGGTAGTTCTGTACGTAGAGCAGGCGCGCTGGACGGGAAGGGGGGCCTGCACTTCAGGGCTCCGAACGCAGCGTGCTGGGGATGGCCTCGCTGACAGGCGGGATCACGGGTACATTAATTACGGCGAAGGCAGAAGTGAGCTACGGTGACAGGGAGCTGGGGGCGGAGGGAAAAGGCACTTTGCCATCGGAGCACATCTGTTTTATAATAAGCAGGTCTATAATTCTCTTGTGAAAGATCATGTTCTGCTATCTTCTCTGAGGCTGGAAAATATAAATACTGTGTTTCACGAAGGGGAGGAAAAAGGAGGAGAGGCTCAAATTTGTTTGCCTGTGTGCCAAGTGCTTGTTTGAGATTTTCCACCCTTTATCTTCTGTGTGCAACATTCTTTATAACTGGGGTGGGGGAAAAGTCAACCTGTTTTTCCAAGAATAAAAAGCTCCATAAGGTTTCCTCATGAAGGGGGCCTTGGCCTTTTAGCAAGTTTTTATGCCCTTGGTCACAGCTGCTGTAGAATGGGAAAATAAATGAAGCGCGTGGTCCGGGGCCCAAGGAACTGGCAGTCTGCACGAGTCTGTCTGAAATGTCTCGCCTCTAAATGGACGGAGGTATCAAGAGTTAGGATCTGGAGGGAGCAAGGTGTCGGGGGGAAAGTGGCAACGGGGTTAAATGTGTCCTGTACTTTGTGAGCCACTGATGCTCTAGATCCTAACAGTAGTGAAACTACCAAACCAGGAAGGCATGGAGGCATCTGCTCAGTGGAAACATACACAGTCTTCTCACATAGTCCGCTGAAAACTGTTTCAGTATCAGTGTATCTTTCTGTTCTGGGAAGAGTTCTGGTGGGAGCACCGGAGCCATGATTTCCAGCGCTGTCCTACCTGACATTTTGGCCACAGCCACTGCTGTGGGGGTGCCGTAGTGGGGGCCCCCTACTCGGCCAAGTGGCGAAGCAATTCGTTATAGTTCCTATTCCTATGATATGATGTTAGCACGTTCTGTTTCACTTTAAGGTGGCAATTATATGTGTGTCTATACATTTAATTAAACAATATTATTACACTGAGTTCATTATATTTGTAAGTTTGGTATTTTCTTAATAGCCTAGCATGGGTGTTTTGAAGTCCCATGTTACTTTGATTTTGTGAACAATTTTAAAAATGTGAAAGTGGAAGCAGTTAAATTGACAAATTAAAGGTCCAAATGAAAGTGCAATGAAAAACAATGAGAAATAAAGCATTTAAAATAATTAAGGTAGGAAATGCCCACACAAGATTCTGTGAAAAGAAACTGAAGACCATCTCATAGCATGTACGCATTATCTCCACCAGTCTTCACACCGATGCATTTAACCACAATGCAGGAAATTTCCTCAGGCCGGCACCATTACAACATCATAAATATTACCCATGAAACCCAGGAAAACTGCTCTTCAGAAAGCTAGGTTTTCAACCAACTATGGTGGGGCACCGCATCATTAGGGGGCTCTGGGATTCGTACCAGCAAACAGACCCACACATGTACTCATTGGTCTCGGAGGTCTTTTTTCTCAGCAAAAAACCTGAGATCAACCTCAAAACCAGAAGGGGCTCTCCTCATAAATTAGGGTGTGCATGCTTTATGTCAGAGGGAACGCACACGCCTCTGAGCCATTTGGCTTGGCTTAGGTGATCCCCACCTGTGTGGTAGAAACTGAGGTGATGGCGTCAGGGACGCGGGGTCCTGGAATGATCCAGGCGTCGTTCCTGTGTTCTGAAACAAACGATGATGAGTGCTTGCCTCAGTTATTTCGTCCTCTGCTAAAAATAAATAACACAAAAATAACCCGAAGTTCTGTGGTTCTGTAGGAAATGCTTCCTCCTGTGTCCTGTGTAATAAAATGGCCCCTGAGAGCCAAAAAAAAAGGAAAAAAACAAGTCTGACCTATAAAGCATTGTGTGTAAACCACGTTTTGCTTGGGAGCGAGCTGCTGAAATTCATGGCTAAATGTAATTCAGCTATTGGTAGTTTTTTTTTTGAAGCCTCTGTTGGTAGTTTTTTGAGCCACAGAGGCTTCCCGGACCTTTTGGACAGCGATTTACACAGAACATACATACAGGACGTATTGGGAGGTGTGGATATGTATGTAAATCTACATCTATGTCTAGCTGAAGATGAGACATCCTCTTCTTCCAAAGGGATCGAATGGGCTAGCTGGGAAGCTGCCGGCTGCTACATCAGCCCGAGGTCAATCCCTGGCCTCAGGCCCCTGCTGACTCAGGTGTTCTGGTAGGACAGCTCGAACATGTTGCAAGCCTCCTCCAGGCTCTCGTCCATGTTCAGCCTCCGCCAGAAAGATTTCTGCTTCTTCTGCAGCTCCCTGCGGACACACCTCGGGCAGGGGACGGACTTCTCTTTGCATTCAGAATGGAAAACGGCTCCACAGCTTTCACACCTGCAGAAACCAACCACGGAGATGATGAACAAGGTGGGAAGGAGCATGACACAAGCATCTGAAACCCAGTGGCCTCTGTGCCGCTCAGAGGACGTTTATTCCGGGGAGCCCTGCCACCAGGAAGAGAGAGACTCACAGAAATGGGCTCTCCCTTTTCCAAGATGCTCAAGGTTGAATTTTTTTTTTTTTTCCTGATTAGAACTGGCTGCGGCGAGGCTTATGGCTTACGGCGGAGAGGGATCAGCAGTCAACTAGCAACGGTGTGATCACGGTGACAATGGCCAGAGCTCTGGAAGTTTCCCCTCCATTGGCCCTGGGGTGAAGTGACAGAGAATGGGAGTGAGGTGTTTCACCAACTGCAAGTGCTCTGAACACCAACCCCAGCGTGACCGCAGTGAAAATGTAGCTCCCCACTTCTGTAAACAGGGACTGAGTGGGTCCCCGTTACTCTTTGCCCTCATTTAACAGTTTGGACAGATAAAATGACACATTTTCATTTTCTGAATGTTATCCTTGGGTCTATTGTCCTTCGGAGTTTTTTAAAAATTGGGAAAACCCCCACCACTGTAAGCCCATCTTTGTAACACAAGTGGGGAGAGTAAAGCATGAGAAAGTGGGGAAAAGAAAAGTTTCTAAAGAAAACACTCAGATACTGTAATTTATAGAGAGGAGGCATTCCAGGTGGATGACTAGTTTATTGTCTGGCTTGGTGGAAGCCTGTACAGGAGTCCAAATGGCTTGTTTTTACGGCAAAGTCTTTAATAATGAGGAACTGACAAGCGCAACTATGGCTGCCCCAGGAGGTGGCTGGCCAGTGAGGATTACCATGCCCATCCTGCCATTCGGGAGTGACAAGCAACTACTCCCTCATCTCAGGAGCCCAGGGAATTAGTTCAACCAGCAGCAGTCCCTGGAGGGTCCAGCACTAGGCTGGGTTCAAAGATGACTCTGCAGGAAGCAGTCCTCAGGGCTCAGCTTGGGCTTCTGTTGGTTTTCCTCTAGGATCTTGGGCTTCAGTCCTGCATATAGGATGGTCTTCAGGGCACCATTCCCTAGCATGCCACTGACTTAGCCCTGGCACCATTCAGGATTCAGAAAGTTTGGTGAAAGGAGGATCCTCCCACCCACCTTTGTACCCAGGGAGCAAGAGACGTGGGGAGTGGGGTGGGGTAGGGAGGGGAGGAAGGGCGTATTGATCAGCTGAGAGACCAAAAGACAGAAGCTTCACTGTTCCTGGCAGTCTCTGCCCAAGCTCAGCTCTCTGGGCAAGTAAACCATAGTGGTAGTTACGAAAGCAGGAATAGGGTGACATGGCCTGACTTCAAATCCCACCTTCAAATCACTTTCTGGCTGCATGACTGCTATGCACTGAATTGTGTGGCCACCTCCCCACCCTGCCACCAAATGCCGATGTTGAAGCCCTAACCCCCAGTGACACTGCATTTGGAGATAGGGGTTTTAGGAAGTAATTAAAGTTAAATCAGGTCATAAGGGTGGGCCCTGATCTGATAGGATTGGTGCCCTTATAAGAAGAGACATCAGAGAGCTTTCTCTCTTTCTCCCCCAGTGTGTGTACCCAGCGGAAAGGCCATGTGAGTAGCACAGCAAGAAGGTGGCCGTCTGCAAGCCATTAAGGAAGCTCTCACCGGAAACCACGCCCTGCTGGATCTTGATCTGGGACTCCCAGCTTCCAGAACTGTGAACAGTAAGTGTCTGTTGTTGGAGCCCCCCGGTCTGTGGTATTTTGCAGGACAGCCTGAGCAGTCTGTGATAGTGACCTGGTGCAAGTCACTTGACCTCTCTGAGCTTCAATCACCTTATCTTAACATGCCCCTTAGAGAGGTCTTGTGAGGCTCAAATGAGGGAATCACAAATAAAGCGTGTAGCGGAGTACCTGGCACAGTAATGCAGCTAAGTCTGTGCCTTCCAGGGTGAGCAGCGCCTCCTGGTGTCTTCCAGCGACGCTTCCTGCAGTCTGACTGCACCGATGTCACCACCGTGACCTGAGGACATCTTGATCAACCCCCTCTTGGCATAGATAAGAAGACTGAGACTCTAAGAAGGCTTAGTGATTGTCTCATGAGGACCCAGTGAGTTAGACAGGTTGTGACTAGAACCCGGGACTCCTGACAGCCCAGCCACGGTTCCCACCGAAGCCTGGTCATCCGAGTGAGGGGAATGCGCCATCCTGGAGGGAAACGCAGGCCTTCTAGTCAGAAGACTCCTGTTCCAATTACAACCCTTTCTCTGAGTGACCTTGGGCAAGTCACTGACTTTTCTTGGTGGTCTGCTCTCCTCATTTGTAAAATGTTGCTCGCAGTGACCTCCTTCCTACTCACCGGGGTTCTGTGGGACAAAAACGGGTGACCATATGTGGAATGAGCAGGTGGGTGTGACACCACCTTTCATGATGACTCTATAGTACCTGCCTTCTTGATGCTGGAGCCACACTGGTCAGGAGAGTCGACAGTGGTAGAATCTTCTCTAGCATTTCCCAGCCCTCGGCGCCTCCCTCCTACCAGGGGGCTGAAGGTCAGACCCAGGTCTCCCCCTGCCTCTGGTTTGGGCTGGCTCCTCCCCAGTGGCAATGGCTCTGTCCTCCCTGGGTCACACCTCTCTACCCTCCTGTCACTGAAGTGACACTAATGGTAGCCTTATCAAGTAAATTTCCTCCTTCCTGCCACCTTTGCCCTGCTGAGTTAGTGATTTATACACCTAGGGATGTTGCCCTAGGGCAGTGATTGATAAGGAGAAAACCATGGGGTTCCTTCAGTACCACTCCCTTATCTCTGCTGATCCCGGCACCTCCGCACCCTGCTTCAGTGAAGAGGTTGAGTCTTATTGGGGATTTCTGGTGCAACAAACACTCCTGGGGTGACGGAGGGGCTGAGTACACCTGCTCTTTCTAGCCAAAGGTCAGTAACTGAAAAAAAGTCCGAGATAAAAAATTAATGATTTCAGAATGTAACCAAGTCCTATTTTCTAACCATTTGTAAGCCAGGAGTCATCTTTTGAACTGTATAATGGACAGACTGATCAATGACCTTCCCAAATTCAGACAGTCTATTGTTAACTTTCCCCGATTTTTTTTTTTAAATGAAAAGAATAAGGTCAGGAAAAGGAAGGAGGAAGAGAAACTGTTTCTTACATAAAAGTTATGGAGCTTTGTAAGAAAAGTGTGCAGGAAAAATAAAGTATTTGCATTAAAAAGTGCAATATATAGGCATGCTCCTCTTTGAGAATATTATTTAAAAGGCCCTTTCACTTTAAAAGAGTTCACTGGCCCCTTTGTGTTTACTGAATTTTCTGACTGTATTTATAATACGATTTTACAAACAACTTTTCAGGAACATATCTTATATATAAGGTTAATCTACCAATGCAATCATCCATGTAGAAAATTGCAGCAGGTACTGAAAGACAAATGCCCTTCAGTGTCCCCGAGCGATAAATCAAATGAAAGCTCGCCAGTTTCATCTTCATTTCTGAGGTCCCCGCTCCCAGCAATCAGCAGTTTCGTTGCCTTCCGGTTGTTGCTGTACGCCACAGAGAACAAAGACCTACGTCCTCCTTTCCAGTGTCCCAGAGAACGCAACTACAGGGAGACATTTGCTATTGACCAAAGCCATCCTATGGGTTTGTCCTGAAAACGTCCATTGCTTCACTGAGTCCAGGGATCTCAACCTCGGCACTATTGGCATTTGGGGCCAGATAGTTCTCTGTTGTGCGGGGCTGCCCTGTGCACTGCAAGATGTTCAGCAGCATCCCCAGCTCTACCCACCGGATGCTGGTCACAATCCCTTCCCCCGAGTTGTGACAATCAACGATGTCTCTAGCCACTGCCAAAAGTCCAAATGTCCCTCGGGAGGGCCAGGGAGATCATCCCAGTTGAGAAACGCTGACCTAATCTATCTGGAGAAAGCATCATAGAGGGAGTACCCAGGGGGTACTTTAAACAGTGCCCGCCCCGGGTGGAATTTCCAAGTGTCAACTGCAGGCTTATACCAACCAATAGGGTCCAACATAGTGTTACTTATTCATTTCATTTTCACAAATATATATATTTTTAATACATCATTCAGTTAAAATAGCTGAAACTCACAGGCATTAACCATCCCGTGGTTTTGAAAATTAATTTAGAACATCATATAAGAAGTCAATACCCAAGACACAATTCTGTGCATTGCTTAGTAACCCTTAACTTTCTATCAACTCACTCTGATTTTTTAGTCTTCCTCAAAAGCCATCTTGGTGGTTGACCCTTAGTTGCATGTATTTGCTCTTTGGCCAAGGACATCTGGGCTGTTTCTCTGTGGTGTTCTTTACTTCTTCATGTCCTATGTAGGCCATCTAGCAAATCTAAACCAAAAACTTGTACTTGCCCCACAAAGCAAATTGCTTTTATGTAACTGGGAAGCAGTTAGGTTTCAGCAACATCTCCAATGAAAAGGAGACCGAAAAATATTAACAAGGCCACTTATTGCAGAGAGGAGGGCTCCAGTGAAGTGAGGAGCCCTGAGTTCTTGGCCCAGGTTGGCCCCATTGTCCCTGGGCCCTTGGGTAAGTTACTTCAACCCTGGACCTCTTGTTCTCCACAGAAGTAAAAGGGAAGGTTGGATTATCCAAGGTTCCTTCCAACTTGCAGATTTTGTGCAAGAGGGAGGGGGACGGCAAGGGAAGACTACTCTGGGTTTTACCCTTCTTGTTCCACATTTTCTTGCCCCAAAGTCTGTGGATGGATGAGTGGGAATACAGCCTTGCTGGCCACTCCTTGGAAAGTCTCAAACTGACAAGCTGGGACTGAATGGGAGGACCCTTAAAGTGAAGAGCACTACTTTAAATTTTATTTATTTGCACTGATTAATCAAACCATGAAATAGCTTGCAGACTAGTACATATGGCTCTGGTTATCAGGAATTTGGCCAAAAGGAGCTGACTCTGCCTCTTTCTCAGAACATCTCAATTAAACATTAAGGATTCCTTTCTAAGGATGTTCCCAA